TGTGTGCATGTTTATGTGGTTTATGAGGACACAAATTTGTATAATAACATGGGTATGACATAGGTATTACAATGAGAATGTGATTTATGAGGACATTTTCAGTGTCCCCGTAATTCAAAAGGTTTATAAATAATTCAGAATGAGTTTTTTTGAAAATCTAAAAATGCAGAAAGTTTCCTGTGAGGGTTAGGTTTAGGGGTAGGGTTGGTGTAGGGCAATAGAATATACGGTCTGTACAGTAGAAAAACCGTTACGCCTATATGGAGAGTCCCCACAAGGATAGCAAACCAGACAGTGTGTGTGTGTGTGTGTGCCATATCTTGTGTTTTATGGATTGTACAGCACATTGGTTTTAATTTCAAATAATTGTGAAATTAAATACTAATACAACAAAATGTAGACCAGAAGTGTATTTTGTGAGCTGTCCCATACGTCTGCACATATAGGGCTTATGTTAAAATCACTGCTCTGTGTGTCCCGTCAGTGAAGCGCTACTGCAAGAGCTCCAGTTCGGCGAGCAGCACCACCAGCAGCTACGGGCCCAGCAGCAGCAGCCTGAGCTGTGGAGGAGGAGGAGGAGCAAGCAGCGCCAGCAGCACCTGCAGCAAGAGCAGCTTCGACTACACACACGACATGGAGGCGGCGCACATGGCTGCTACCGCCATCCTCAACCTCTCCACCCGCTGCAGAGAGATGCCCCAGAGCCTGAGCGGGAAAGCCCTGGAGATCTGCACGCAGGTACACACACGGCCACAATATCAAGCCCCTTTTATACTTGCTCAGACATTTTTACTTTATCATTATCCATTACCTTATTACACATTATTAATTATTGATATATAACTAATCTGGAGACCAAGCATATAGTAGAGCTCATCTCTGAGATGTCAACACTGAAATAACAATTTAATATCAAGATGACAGAAACATAACATAATATAATATAATATAATATAATATAATATAATATACTATAATATACTATAATATAATATAATATAATATAATATAATATAATATAATATAATATAATATATATTTGGCCTACAAAAGCATCATCCAGGCAGTTAATCTTCTGAAGGTGACTATAGTGTCTGCAGAGGCATTAAGCCCATGATAAGATCACTCTGAAATAAATCCAATGTTTAATAACATAAAACAAAGGTTCAGCACATGCACAAGTCATTTGTCTATAATGGTATCAGAAAGCTTGTTCTAATCAACCGATAATGTAAATGCCAGACATGCATTAGAATTTGACTCAGTATGTGCAGTTTTTCCATTTATAACTTCATATTTGCATGAGGTTCTCGTCCTCATTGGACTCTGTTTCTGAAGAAAGAGTAAGATGTGCTTTGCCATGCAAAACTCACAATAAAGAGGCTTCGATGTTTGATGGTTACTGCAGTGTTTCTGTATGGTTTCTGGGTGGATGCCGCAGTAGGTGGCTGATGCTATGGTGGTGTAGTTGGACGCTCACTGGCACAAAATTATATACTGTTTTTTTTTAATACCATTCAGGATGGAGTCTGTGGGATCGTAAGTCTATTTGCTTAATAGTAATAAATAGTAACTATTACTATTACTATTATATACTATTTATTTCTATTATTTATATATATATATATATTATTCACCATTGTGTGAAACAAATACTAGCAATTATACTAGAAAACAAAGGGAGTTTTTGACGCATACCAGTTAAAGACACAACCTCCTGCTAACACTCAGTCTGAAGATAGATTGGAGAAAAAGCAGTACTGAACACAATGAATGTTATTTGTGTGGGATATAGGAGCTATATCCTCAGATTAAGCACAGACACTCATCCAG